TCTTCCCAGTCAGCTACGTGGACAGCCCAGCTGGACTTCTGAGCCGCTCTCATTACATGGCGTAATGAGAAAGTTGAGCTGCCGCTCTGCTGTTTATCAAGGAACCATCCATTATAGATGGCATTTTGTCTGTGCTAAACAAAGGGCGTGAAGACGAGGACGTGGGTTTAAAAAAAAAAAAGTGTTTTGTTCCCATATTTGGTGTTTAATCAATACCAAGCCAGCCTGGATCCGTTCCTTCCCTCGCACACACCCCGAGCCAAGCCTCCCTCGTGGGTCCTCGGGCGAGGAAGCAGGGCTTCCCCTCCCCGGGGTATCGCTCCCGAATTAGCACCCCAACCCCAGCCAAAGAGAGATGGTTTCTGCCGTGCAGAAATGCACCTCACCAATGCACGCAGACACGGGGGTCCTGCGAGGAGCTGGGCAGGATCCATCCCCTGCCCCAGCCACAAATACGCTGAAAAAGAGGAGAAAACTCAGGCAAATGAAACGTCACCCTGCTTTTGGATGCTGAGGAGCTACAGCCAGCGGAGGCTGGGAAATTCTTCAGCACCAGCATCACTGAAGCATATAAGACCAGATTATTTGTGTTCCTGACTTGCTGATGCAAGATGAAAAATACAGCAAACTGCAGCTGCTGAAATCAGCTCTTTTCTCCCCTTTCCTTCCCTCTCCCCTTAGCTGAGGTTAGTGTTTTGCAAAAGGTTTTTATATTCTGGGAGCTAAAACCTGTCCATTGCAATCAGACACAAAGCTCGGGGAGTTTGTCAGGCTCCTCCGTTGTGCGAGGAAAAGCTTCCCGGCACGAAAAGCTTCACAAATTGCAGCGATCTGAGCCTGATTGCTCCTGCTCTCACGGCCAGGAGCTGGGCGAAGGGGCTGGGGCATCTCACAGGGGATTTTTAGCAGCCTCACAGGTCAAGGCCATGTGAATTGCTTTGTCCAAAGCAAAGCCCAGGATTTCAGCCCAGAATAACCCACGTCCTGCACCCTGCTCCAGGGAAGGGAAGGGCACAGGTTGAGCGCTCGCCCTCGCCAGGACCTGAGCCCATGCAGAGGTGCACGGGAGCTCGGGGGCCGCATCCTGGCCCCTTCGTGTCCTCAGCCTCCCTGTGCAGTGCAGAATGGAGGGGCTGCACAGCACCCTCTTCCTAGCCGCAGGGACCCCCAGGTGATCGGGAGCCCACTCCATGCTGGGACGCTGCCCGCAGGTTAAAATACCCCAGCCCAAAGCATTCAGAAAACATCACCTTCCACCGGCGGTGACGGAGGAACTGGTGGCTTTTATCTCCCCAGCTTTTGCGACCACAGATGGGACAGGGGCTGGTGTTCAACGACCACTTCACCACCAGCCCTGAGCAGCTGGAAAGCAGCAGCAGAAAGCCATGGAAAAAATTCCAGAATGACTGTTTTCTATGCTGGACCATTAATTTGCCCTCTTCCCCAACACCTCTGCTTCTTTCAGGAAGGAAGCAACGGGACCTCAGGGTGGGCTGCGTCCTGCAGGAGCAGCAGCCCCTACGAGGAGCATCCCCACGCACCCAGCTCAGCACTGACCGCGGCGAGATGGCAGCAAAAATCTCCCCGCAAAGTCCTATCCTGCTACCAAGGGCTTCGCCGTTCATTAGGCGTTCAGCCAGGAGGCTTAATTACGCTCGCAGCCCGCGTGGGAACATTATCTCATCTCCTGTCACCGCCGGGTTTCAGAGCAGCTTGCTGATCTGCTTCTGAGTTCAATGCCCTTGCCAGTCCCACATGCAGATAAGGAGGATGAGCATCAGTCCACGATGCCAGCCCGATAAGCACAGGCATTGACGGGAAATCCTACGGCAGACCCCAGCCTTGCCTTGCCCGCAGGCAGGGCCTTGGGATGACGGGACACGGAGGGGTTTCATGCCCAGTTGCTCCTGGGTGGAGGCTGGTGGGTGCAGATGCTGTGGGAAGGAGGACAAAGCCTGCACGCTCTATTTATACACGTTCTCAGCATCTGGTGATGATCTTGGCAGCGGCTGCCTGCCAATGCTTTGTTATTTATAAATGCAGAGTGCCTCGGAGAGGCAGGAGAGAGAGAGGAGAGGCCCCCCCAGCACCAGGCAGCCCTGCAGACCACCTTGTCCCTGCAAAACAAGCCCAGAGCCGCTCGGCAAAGGGGATGCCAAACAGCCAAACTCACCCAGCCTGCACACGGATGCAAACCCCCCCGGCTTTTGCAGAAGAGCAGAGCAAGCTGCTCGCCCAGAGCAGGACCAGCAGCATCTCAAGGGGTCCTGGAGCCACGCACCAGTTTGTAGATCCCCACATTGGGTGCAGCCCTGTCTGCACAGCAGCTCCAAGCACCGAGCCTGCAGCAGGGACCTCTGCATCACCGCTGAATGAGACCCCCCTGCACCGAGCCAGATCCACCCCAAATACACGGCACCTCCACATTGGTTAAAACCCTCCGACGAAGTGCAAGCAGCAGCTGCTGGAGGAGTTTGCTTTACCCACACGGTGGCTAGACAGCCTAGGTTTGATTCAGCTCCTGAGCCTGGGCTTTCCAGGCTCGCTAGGCGCTCTCGGCCTGGAGCAGCTGGGAAACGCCAGGAACGTGCACGGAGGAGACGAGGCTGTGGGAGACAGGGTTCAGCTGGTGAGTAAGTCCATGCCCAACCTTCATTTGGGAAACTAGACCCACAGCAATGGGAGCTGTGACTCCCTGCCCCTGTTTGGGGCAGCGCTGGGGTAGATGGACTCACAGCCGTTGGATAGTCAGGCAGCTAGCGTCAAGCAGACAGGGCAGCAGGCTCTCAGACAAGTCTCTTGCTAACGATGGTTTTCCTTGACCAGCTCTCCTCCACATCCTTTCCCCGTGGGCCAGGGCACATGATGCCCGTGTGTGCATCAGGCACGGCATGCAGGGCCATTCCTTCATCCCTGGTGAAGACGTGCCAGCAGGAGACCTCCAGACGGAGATGGAGGGGGAAAAACAGCAGCAAGGACCATAAAGTGCAGCCTGCATGGGTATGCCCGCTCCCAGGGCAAGCACAGTGCACATACAGCCCCTGCTAGAAGGCTCTGCCAGAACCATCTCCATCCCAAAAGCCAGGGAGAAAAAAGCCAGACCCTCTCTCACTTGCAAGGCAACATCAGTAGAGAAAAATTCTTATTTCCCCCCCCCCTCAGCTCAGGTGCCGGGCACAGCTCACCTCAGGTAGGTCACCGCTTCTAAACACTTTCGCAGCTGCAAACACAAGGAGGTCAAGTGAGCTGCTGGAGCATGTCAGCATCTCCGAGTGTCCCTGGGCACGGGCTTCCCGCTGGAGGCTCTTAACCCCTCTTGCACCCCAGTGCCACAGCCTGGTTAATGCAACCGCTTTTAATGGGGGGTTTGGAGCAAACCCGCCTGCCCGAGCCTCGGGAGCGCTGCCGGAGCCCCCCCAGGGCAGAGCTGCGGGAGGGGAGTGGATGGGATGGGACCTTCTCTTGCAAGCCCAGATCCAAGGAGTGCATCCATGCACAGCCCTGCAACACCCCATCATGGGGAGAGAACAGCCGAGGTTAAGGCAAAACCGCAAACCAATGCCCAAAGCTGGATGCATAAATAAATGCTGGATTCGGGTGCTTTGCAGAGCAAAAGCCCCCGGCCAGGGCTGCCTCTCACCAGCCGGGCAGCATCCGTGCTGCTGCCGGAAAAACGCATTTCCAATTCGGAGCAAACAGCCAAAGCAGCTGCCACACACTTCCCCCTTTGCTGCTTCATCTCTTTCTGGTGGAATTTCATTTCAGGCAGGAACGGGCTTGTAATTAATGCTCGGCAGTTCCGTGGCCTCTCTGGTCCCCCCAACGCGCTGCTAATGCAGGTTATCCCCCTCCGTGAGCGGATGCATCCGCAGCATTTAATGTCAGAGCAAGCATCAGGCCTGCTGACGGAGAGATACTACCATTAATTTGGCCGCGACTCAGCACAGCCCTGGTATCTTTTATTCATAGACATTGGCTTATTGTATTACTTTTTGATAAAAAGCCACATTCTCACGTTTCAAACACATTTGCTTACAGCCAGAGGAGGACCTGAAGCTGTGTTATTCATTTATTTCGCCACCAGGCTCTGGGAAACTCCATCACCTTGATGGCAAAAAGACCCTCCTCCTTGTAGGAAACATATTCTTTATGAGGCTGATCCAGCCCCCGGAGGGTGACAGGAGGTTTTTTGCCGTATGAATAATGAGTTTCATAACGGAACAAAAGCCTGATCTCCCAACTTCACTCTGCCACGGGGAAAACAGCGGATTTCACCAGCCATGAAGTTTCGGCTGGGAATGCTGAAAGCACGCCGAGGGATTTTGCTGCTTGCAGGGCGTGGGTGCCGCCGCTGCCGCGGTGCCTTTTGCACCTTCATCCCCTCCACAGCTTGGGGAGACGGAGCAGTCCCAGGTGGGGAACAGAGCCAGCACGGCCCCCAGGGACTCAGCTCCACCGTTCACAGCAGAAAGGCAGCTCCGTCCCCGCTGCTCTAGTTCTGCCCCACGTCTCTACCCGACCTGAGCGCTGCCGGAGGGCACTGCCCCACTGCAGCTCCCGGGCCAAGCACAGGGAAAGGCAGAGCCGTGGTTTTGCACTGGGGGTTTTGGAGCAGATCAGAGCTTGGGGCGGGGGGCTCAGCTGGCAGCCCCCATGCTGGCAAACCACACGCAGCCCCACACAAACCCATGGATTCACCCCGCAGCAAGGGGGGACCAAACTTGAGGCCGCGCCTCAACCTCTCCATGAGCAGCCAAAAACCATTAACTCTGCCCCATTTTACGCGCAGAATACAGCTGTTACTGGAGGAGACCCAGCCAGCAAATGCCCCATGGCATCGGGAAGATGGAACCGATAAACTTGGAACAGGGTCATGCAACAAGAAAGCACTGCAAACCCGGCCACGGTCCTGCACAAACCCCTCTCTACAGTCTGCAGGTCTCCCCCCAGCACCGGGAAGGGCTGGGAAAAGCCCACGCAGAGCCCAGCGCAGCCCTTACCGGCAGAGGTGATCCGTCCGGCACGTGTTGCGCAGATCCAGGCAGTTGGGTTTCTCCTTGTCCTCGTAGGAGCAGGAGGGGACGATGGTTTGCCGCCGGCGCTCGGCGCAAGCCTGGTCCTTGCAGGAGCAGAAGAGGAGGCGGTAGGTGTACTCGCTGGGGACGCGGTCAAAGAACTGGCGCAGAGCCTTGTGGCATTTCCTCCGGCTGCAGTGCTCGGTGGCCGAGACCTCCTTGCTGCAGGTGGAGATGTAGCCCGAGCGCAGGCGCTTGCAGTTGTCATTCAGGTTGCAGGCTTTGGCCGCGTCGAGGCAGTGGTTGCTTTTGGAGTTGGTGGCGGGGTCCATTCCTGCCCGGAGAGCAAGAGGCAGAAGGGGTGAGCATGGCACTGAGGGATGGGGAGATGCCCTCAACCCGGGGAGATGCTACGGGGAAGGGGGCTGGCATTGGTGTCACCCCCTGGCATCTCCGGCACGGCCTGGCCCTGCCCTGCTGGCAGCGGCGAGGGGGCTGGATGCACCACTGAGGTTTCCCCCCTTCATCCCCATCCCCCTGCACGATTTGGAGGTCCTCCTCCAGCATGGAAGGGGTCAATGCGCACCGATTGCAGCGGGGGGAACCTGGTCAAACAGTCTTCAGTGCATAATTCATGCCCTGAATTTGCAATATTTTGTTTCTTGTCAATTATTCAAAGAATAATTATTAATTACTCAGCCTGCTCCAAAGCAGAATAATCTGCTGAGCTGCACAGTGCCCCCCAGCCCCCACATCATCTCCTGGGGCTCCCCAAAACCGGGCCAGCCCCAGCCAGCCCCCCCGCAGGGCTGAGCACTGCCCAGGCAGGGACAATGGGGACAAGGCTGCCACCGGAGCTGGGCACCGGCCACCTGCCCCGCACCGGCCAGATCCCACATCTGCCCCAGAAATCCCAGCCGTCAGCAAATAAACGGGGAGAGGACGGACAGAGCTAAACCACCGCATGGGAACAAACGCTGAATTTTCTTTCTTTTTTTTTGTCAAAGTGATGGATCACCCTCAGCAGCCCAGGTGCTATTTTAGAAGCCACCTGACTGCACCAGCCATCTTGTCCCTCATTGTCTCCCCTCCGCAGCCCAGCCAAGTCCGTGGATTCCTCCGTTGTCTCCCGGCTTCCGCTGGCAAAGACAAATGACAGCATCAAGGAGGGTTTCCTAACAGACATATTTGTAGGGCCCTGCTAATTAGCAAATGGCAAGCAGCTGCCTGCGTGAGCATCACCCCCCTGCCTTCCTCTGCCTCCCCCAGCTGCCCACGGGGGCCGCCCTGCAGGCGAGCAGCGTTTTGGGGTGTCATTTGTAGCACGGGACCCGACTTTGCCTCATTTTCCCACGGTCTTATCCAACTCGGCGTGAGCCTCCGAGCCAGGAGCCGCCAGCACGGCACTGCCTGCGTTAACTGGCCCCAATTAAAAGGCGAAGCTGGAAGCCCCCCCCCGGTGCCGTCTCATGCAAACCCGACCCACATCCCGCTGCCCTTGGGGGACGTTTGCAGCTGCCGGGAGCTCGGTGCCACCGGTCCCGACCTGTGCCGTGACGACTGTGGCGTCCCCGCAGCCCCCTTCACCCAAGGCCAGCACCCCCCGGCTGGGCTGAGATGCCATGAGACCCCAGAGCCAGGGGGGTAAAGCTGCTCAGAGAGAGCCCTCGAAATGCCAAACGTGTCATCCCAGTGATGAACACCCCCCGTGGAGATCTACCAGGGACGGGGGAGTTTGATAAGACACATGTAAAGCGAATACTTCTTATGATACATGATTTATAAGTAGATCTGCCTTGAAAAATAGTGTGAGAGGCAAGAAGGTTGCCTGAGCTAAGAGAGACATTTTAGCTGACAGATGGTCAGAGCGTGAAGCGGTGCTGCGCTGAGGGGGGATCCTCCTCCCCGCTCCTCATGGAGCCCTGTTTGGAATAAAGCCGGGGAGAAAGGAGGTGAAGACAAGTCCTTCAGGGCTTTGCACCCTCCCCAAGGATGGGAGAGGGCAGAAATTGCCATTTCACAGCAGGAACCCCCCAGCCCGGGTGATGCTACAGGGTCCCTCCAGCCGAGGGCTGAGGATGGAGACAGCTCATGACACCGATGTCAGAGGAGCAGAAGGGGAAAAAGATGCTTGAAGAGGATGGGGGACACATGGCTCGCTCTTCTCCTTGGCCTCCTGGTTTTGGGGGGATGCACCGAGCACCCTCTGCACCCGGGTCTGCTGGCGGCCATCCCGGCTCCGAGCCCTGCGAGCGGTTAACAGCCAGCGCGGCGGCTCTCCAGCACAAGCGTGGAAGCTGTGCAAAGTGCCGGCTTATTGTCTAATCCTCCGGAGCATCGCTCCTGCCCTGCCTGAGACCTGCAGGGACCCGGATGCATTTTAATAGAGCCGGTGCTTGAAAGCGCAGGGTTTCTGGGGAGCTCATTAATAAAGCACAAGCATGAAAATTTCATGAGGCGAGAAGGAAACGGGGGCCAAGGAGCCGGGGAGGGTACGCGCTGGGAGACCTGGTGCCACCAGCTGTCCCCTCGACAGGCTCTGCCTGGCCTTTTGGTGCAGGACGGGGTCAGGGGCAGAGGAGGAGGAGGGCGATGGGGAAGGCAGTGCTGCTGCAAGCCCACTCCATGCCGTGCAGCGCAGGCTGAGGCTGGGGGTCTGATGCCCACCCGCCTCTTGGGTGCTGCTGCCCCGTGTTGGTGTCCACGCGGGCAGAAACACAGCGTGGGGCTAGTTTCCCAACCGGAGCCTCTTTCTTCTTCCCTGCAGGCTGTGGTTTCCTCAGGGCAGGGCAGGCTCCAGCACCCCTTGGCACTGCAGAGCATCCTCACCGCCGGCCCGGGATGCTCTGCTCCATGGGGGGGTCCGGGAGCGCAAAGCCCCATGCACGGGGCGGGCTGCGGTGCTCGCTCGAGGTGCTCGCTCACGATGCTCGCTCGTGGTGCCGCCAGCCACCCCAGCCCTGGCAGGCTGCCCACGGAGGGCACGAGCAAACAGAGCGCGGCAGCGTGCATCGCCGCTCTCCTCGCTTACACAGCCCCTTCTTTCTAGAAGGGCAAGGCAATCCCTCCGCTATCCCCACAGGCAATTAGCAGCGCTCTGCCTCAGCCTTGTTATCGAGAAACAACACTAACCACTAACAGCTCATTTGCTTCAGTTGCTTGGGCTCCGGGTCAGGGCTGGGGGTCCCGGGGGGCAGCCGCTTGCCGCTCCCACCACTCCAGCCCCACGCGAGAGGGACAGAGAAGGAGTGGCAGAAGCATCAAGGCCACTCCGATGGCCACGGCACATCTCTGGAGCATGACAGCAGCCAATTCCCACTTCTCCCGGCCCCAAAATTGCCAGACAGACTTCCTTCTCCTCTTGCTTTGCTTTTATGAATAAATCAGCCCATGAGCGTTTAATCCCCCACTCCAGACACTTTGCTTTTCATACTTTCCAGCAGCTAAAATATTTCCTTGACGCTAATGTAATCCAAAAAGGCGTGCGGGAGACGGGAGGGGGTGGCATCGTCATCCTGAACCGGTGCTAAGCTCGCCGGAGGGAGCCTGGCAAATTTGCTTCGGGAGCTAAAATCCATCAGGTGACAGCAGCGAGGGGATGTGGCATCACAGCCCTCCTCCGAGGTGTCCCCAAGCGAGCCAGGGTGGTTGTGGGCAGGGCTGCGCAGCCCAGGGGGGCACGGCATCGCTGCAGGGTCACCGGGGTGCTACCACCCTCTGCCCATGTGCACCCTGCAAAGTCTGGGGATGCAGGGACCCCCAAAACCCCACGGTGGTGGGAGGCTCTTGGGGAAAGGGTTAAGAGGAGGAAGAGCAAGGAGAAGCCAAGGCATTGCGTGACCTAATTTGAAAGGGGGGGGGGATGGCAGCACGGAGGGTTGTCATGGAAATAGATGGCAAAAAAAGTTCCTGAGGATGATGGTGGAGTTTGGATTCCCGAGAGGAGGACATGGAGGCAGAGAGATGCTCCGAAGGGCTCGGCATCCTTCTCCCAGCAGCATCCCGTAGCTTGGCTTGAGGCCGGCTGCCCCGGGGAGGGACAGCAAACAGGGTCCCCCCCAGCTTCCCCGCAGATGGGGCGTCCTGCCGGTCCCAAATCTTCCAGAAGACAAAATGCTTTACATTGAGCGATGGATGGGCAGCGGGAGGGCCTGGTCCCTCCTGGAGCCCGGGCTGTGCCTGCGCCTCCCCCTCCTCCCCTGCTTAATGCCGTGACGCTCGGCTGCACGAGGGGACACGTCCGCAAGACAAACGAGGGGATTACCGGCTCTCCAGCCCACCTCAGCTATTTGATATAAGCCCACGGTTGGAGGCAGCTGAGTCCAAAAGGTAAAAACCTAAATCACAGCCTGGGGGGAAATAGGAAGCCCGAGGAGGGGGCTGCTGCCTGTGGCTCTGCCATCACTGCCGGGCAGGGGCTCACCCGCTCCCAGCACGTCTGATCCCACCGGGAAGGTCTGAAACAGAGAGGATCTGTCCCAAAGTGCATCAAACCCCAGCAGCACTCGGGAACCAGCCCCTACATCACTCCCTTCTGTCAGGCACCGGCATCCCGGCCAGCTGCAGGGGGACACGTGTCACCCCCGGGGGATGCTCAAGGCATCAGGTCTGGGGTGACGGGGAGAAGAGACGGGCAGGAGAGCGGCCATAGGAGCTGGAGGAGCAAAGGACCAAACCACGGGGGAAGGAGTTGCAGGTTTTCCTTGCCAGGGAGCTCGGTAGCAGGTCTATGTTCACGCGCAAAAGAAGATAAAACAGCGGAAGCATGTTGCTTTTATTACCTGAGAAAATTGAAGCAAGTCTGAATATATCTGAGAGACGAGAGGTGACCGGCTCATAGGGGGAAGCTTCGTAAAATTCTTCTCCTAGAGTAGGAGGGAAGAAAGAGAAGGGGGAGAAAAAGCAAATTAAAAACCACAGCGAATAACCTCAGCCACCACTGAGGCTATGGCCGGGCGCGGGCACCCCCCAGCGTGGCAATCTGCAATTTGGGAAGGGAAAACCAAAAAGCGTTTAAAGCACTGCCCTGCAACAAAAGGAAAAGCCCATTTTGGACCAGCTCGGCTTAATTCTTGCTGGCTGGGAACTTGTGGCTGGGCGGGCAGGTCTGCGCTGCTGCCTGCAGCTGCCTGACGGCTGGGTCCTGCTGCAAGCTCAGGTTTGGCAGCGGCTGCGTTCAAACTGACCTCAAGAGTTGAGGGAATTTAGATTTGAAAGCTCCGTGTTTCATGACTACGTCCGCAGAGGCTGGGCCAGCTGCAAGCTGAAAGTTTTGGGGTCTATACTCAACACTGGATTGTTTTATTGTTGTTGCAAAAAAAAGCATTTGCCTAAAAAAACACTGTAAAGATTGTTTTCCACTCTGCTCTGCCTCTGATGCACCTTGGGAAAATGGAAATATTTCAGTGGGGGGATACAGACCCGACCGGAGAGCCTCATCGTTTGAGCACCAGAGCATCCCCACCACTGACCCACCCACGCTGCACTCCAGGGGCTCATCCATCGCAATCCGCACTTTCCGGAGGGAACCTGAGCACGGTCCATCTGTCCCCAGGCTGGGAGCAAACCCCCTCTCTCCCATCTTTGATTTCAGTGCAAACCCATGTGCTTTTGCTCTTTTGCTGCCTGCCACACGTGTAACTCCAGAAAAGGCTGATTTCAGGAGAGCCGGCCACGGCTCTCAGGAGAGGAAACACCCTCCTCAAACCCCAGCAGCCACAGGGAAAAAAAAAAAAAATAAAAAATAAAAAAAAAAATCAATGGCTGGACTTCGAAAGCCCCAGTCAGAGGCTGACCAGCGGCCCGGAGCATCGACCTCTGCTGTGCCCGGCAGCCCTTTCGGCAGGATCCCTGCCCGCTCCGGGTGCCCTCGCTGCGGGTGAGCCTGGTCTGCCCCGGGGACGGGCCCCGGCAGCCCGGACCGCTCCAGCCCACGCGTGCTCTACCGAGTTATTATTAGCCCAAGGCGGCAGCATTTATCCTGTGTAATTAAGGAGCCACTTGAAACCCTGTGCTGGAAAACAATCTCATTAAGAGGCAGGGAGCAATGCGGGAGGGCTTGCTCCAAGCCCAGCAGCTCCTCAGCGCCGTTCCTTGGAAATTTGGGGGGGGCAGAGCTGGGTGGCTGGCCAGGGAGACCCCGGTGGGATGCCAGGTTGGGCTGTCTCCAGCGCCTGTGGGTTTTCAGCCCATCACCCTGCGCCTGGCCTTGCCACCGCCCTGAGGGCGATGCTGGGTGATGCTACATGGGTGCAACAGCCCCCGCCGGGGCCAAGGGCGGCTCCTGCTGCTGCTGCTGGTCATGGGAAAGGAAACACACTCCGGGCAGCCTGCAGAGTCCTCCTGCTTCAGGCCTTTGCCTCGACAGGTTTCCTAATGCTCCGATGACAAATAGTACCTTTATTAAAGTGCATTTAGGAAACACTGTAACCTCACGGTATATTGCTTTGCCAATGCAATAAATAATTAAATACTAGCTGAATCCTGCTGCTTGCTAGGAAAATTACTGAGCATTAAAAGGGCAGCGGACTTTTCTTGAGCTTACTGAGACACAATTAACCTCCAGGAATGAGGCTGGAGTGAAAGCAGTCCTCCTTAATGGCAGGGACAGGTTAGCTCCCGCAGCCGAGGGGCTGGACGGGAGGCCACCGGGCACAGCATCTTTGCTAAAAGGCAGAAGATCAGGGTCTACCTTGGGCTCCTCATTGCTTTTACACTCACTGGTTTATGCACGTTAAAGCTATGAGCTGCTGGATCTCCCCAAAGCTTCTACCTCTCCTTAAGACTTGGTATAATCACTTCTCTTCCCACCTCCTCCTCCTCCAGGTACAGGTCCTGGAGTACGCATCAAGCAGTAAAGCATCCTTCATTCATGTTTGCAAAGCCCTCTGAAATCGCTGAATGAAGGCTGCTAATGAGGGGTAGAAAACAATGAAGCAGTAATGCCTGCTCTGGGCTGGGTTTCGGGCTCACTAGTCCCTGTGCTGACCCAGATTTGAAGGCAATTTCACCCGGGGTGCTGCATGCTTGGGTACAGCTCCCCACATCCTCGCCGCTGCCACCAAAGCCCCCCCCAGCACCACCTCCACCTCCTCTGGCTTCAATCCCAGCTCAGGAGGGAGGTCAGAGACCTCCGCCCGCTGCGGGAACGTGGCTGCCAGGGACGGAGGCTCCTCCGCAGGCTCTATCAAATGAACCCCTTTAGCTCAAGCTGCTGAAGGAGGTGGCTTTCAGCCAAGGTAATGAAACAGCAGAGGAACAGGGATTTTTACAGGCCCAAATCATTGGTGGAAACAGGGCCAAGCCGCCGACACACTTTGTGCCGCGGGTGGCCGAGGGCCCGTCTGCTCACAAGCTGCCACCGGCCAGGCGGGCACGTGCCCTTGCAAGGACTGTGCCGCGACTCAGGGGCTCTGGTACAGGCGGTTTTGCACGAGCTGAAGCTGGATTTAAGAGCTTCCATGTGCAGAGCCAGTCGTAAGCCCATTAAAGGGATCTATACTGTTAAACTGATGCTGGCTCTGCTCCTCTCCAGTCTGGGGCCAGCCGGGCGCTGGCAGAGCTGCGCAGTGGTGGCAGGTGGGGGTAGAGCCCACAGGACAGCAAAGCAAACCCCACCAGCACTGGCACCAGCCCCAGCCCCAGCTGAGCCCCTCACAGTTGGTTCCTTCCTCTGAGCCCAGTAAAGTGCCCCTCTGCAGCCCTGGACCAGCAGCACGAGCCCCGGGGGCAGCCCCAGCCCCGGTGATGCCCCTGCGGAGGGGTGAGGGGCAGTGGGTGAAGCCCGCTGCCTCCCCCTGCCTTCAGGCAGTAGATAATCCTGCCTTCAATGAACAAACCAGCCCTGGGCTAGCAAAATCCAATTTCAATTACCGCACTGCTCCAACCTCTGATTTACTCCTTCACCAGGCTGCAATTACAGCAGGCTCTGGTGCATCACCTCTCCGCAAGGCGAGACCCCAGCGAGCCCTCCCTGCTGCTCCCCAGCCCACAAACCCCGCTGCAGCAAGGGCTAACGGAGGGCTGGGGGGTCCGAGGAGGCAGTGACAACGTCTGCACCCCAGAGGGATCCCTACAGGACCCACAGCCGGTACTGAGGTGCAAAGCCGTGCCCCAGCCTTGCTTCCATCTGCACCCTACGGCCACATCTCCTCCTCTGGGGCAGGCAGGAGGGAGGGAGCCCAGCTGGAGAGGAGCCCTGCCCCGGCTTGCAGGTGCCTGGACGCCTGGGCGCAACAGTTCTGCCATGATAGCGATCAGCTCTTGCTGCAAACGCAGCCCCCAGCCCCGCGCCCACGTTGGGCAGCCCAGCTCTCAGCCCGGCCCCCATTGGCATCCTCCAAGAAACGGGGGACCGTCTGCCTTGCCTGGGGTGCCCGTGCAGCCCAGGGCACTGCTCAACCCATTTTTACTAGAGCAGCGAGGTGCCCTCGGAGCTTCCCAACCTCGAGGTGGGTCAGGACCACCTCTCCTCCAGCACCCTCCACCCCACTGCAACCCCACAGAGCCCTGCCCCGTACCTTCGGTCAGCCCGAGATGTATACTCCAGTAGATCTGAAGGCACTGAAGCTCCTTCTTCATCCCTCGCTTGCAACGGCAGTCGTAGAGGGGGCTCTCCTGCAGCACCTCCAGGGCTGCCTGGCATTCCTTGTTGGCCAGCATGGTGTTCCTGTCTCGGCCGGCCAGGCACTGCCGCAGCGTGCGGTACCGGGAGCTGCAGCTGGGCTCTGCCGCGCACAGCTCGTTGGCTCGCACGCAGTCCACGGGCACCCGCCAGCCATGGGGGTCCTGCCCCGGTGGGGACGGGGGGCCAGCCAGCGAGCGGAGGATCTCATCTGGGCGAGGGGCGGGGGAAGGAGAGATGAGGGCAGAGAGAGGTGAGGGAGGGAGACCAGGTGGGGTGAACCCCTTGCACTCCCTCCCCGGGACCCCACACATCAGCCCCTGCCCCAGCCACGGTCCCCGACTGATCCCTGGCGTTAGAGCCACCTTTGGGCTCTAGAGAGGGACAGCATCCTTCCATCGTGCCTAAAACAAGCCTGGATGTGTCCCCAGCCATAACCCCGCTGGGGGCTGTTAAATACGACTAAATTCAGCCAGTGGCCTGAAAAAGCAAGCAGGATGTCACAGGGCACCCCAGCAGCGGTGACGTGCCCCAAGGCGTGGGGTGGGGAAGGTGGAGGGTTAACCCAATGCCTCCGCTCCCGGAGCCGCGGGACTCTGTTTCTTATTAGAACCAAACAGGCAAATAAACAAACACAGCATGTTTCCAGCCCCTGTGCTTGGGGACACCAACCTCCACACATGACCTCTCAAGAGTCAAGGGAAGCAGAAAGCCCATCCAAACTCACTGCGCACGTTGCTGTTTGGTTTTTATTTTGCAGCTCATCGTTTTCAGGCCCGCCACGGGATTTTTAGGGCATCTGACTCACGGGTTTTTGAGCACTCGGGCTTGGCAGGGCTGCAGAACGGCTGCAGCTCGGTACAAACTCTTCCCCCCGGGGATGGCCTCCGTGCTAGCCGCCCCTCGGGGTGGCAACCATCCAGCTCACCTGGCTCCTGCCCGTGCATGGCCACTGCCTGCTCCTCGGACCCTGCCTTGGCAAGCCCTCCCCTTCCCGCCCGGCACTCCCTCAGCTCTCACGCTATTTCTACCATTTTATCATTTTCTTTTGCTTTTTGAAATAAATTCTTGCCAAGTCAATCCCAGGCAAGGCCACTGGCCCATCCCATCACGGGTGCATGGGGAAGGGGCACAGGCTGCGCTGGCGCGGCTGGTCCCCCCACTCCTGCACCAGCCAAGCGATGGGGACGGGGTGGGCAGGACCCCCTGCCACTCCTGACCCCCCCATCCGCCAGCTTGTAACCGCAGGCAGGGAAAGCCCTGAAGCAGGCAAAGACAGGCACGACGGGACCTGGAGGGCATCCTCAGCCGCCCCGGAGGGTGATGCACGGGGACACCCCACTTCATGCAATGCCCACACCCATCGCTGCCCCTGCGCCCTGGGGAGCAGCTTCCCCTTCCCCTTGCTGCCACATGCAAGGCACCAGACGGGCACAGCCATCCTCAGCCTCCAGCTCCCAGCCCCTTCCCAACCCGCGGCCGCTCGGCCGGCTATGGCAGGGGGACAGTGACACCTACAGGCATGTGACAAGGGCCACCCGTGTCCCCCCCACCCGCCAGGACGCACAGGCAGCTCCCAAGCTCGGCGGGCACTCAGCCCCAGCAGCGGCTCCCCCACGCAGGCAGCTGCCTGCAGGCAGGGCTCATCTTCTGCCAGCACCCTGGGACGGACACCCATGCCCTGCCTCCTGCGTGCCACGGGAGCAAGCGGCCACGGGAGCAGGCGGCCACGCACGCCTCTGCCCACCTCGCCAAGTCGGGACATGCTCCTCGGGCCACGGGGAGAGGAGAGGGGATGCTCGGGGCTCAGGTGGCTCTTCAGGAGGGACGGGGCAATGCCAGGGGGTGAACGAGCAGGACGGGCAGCAGCCCCGGGTGGAAACACCTCCACTGCCTGCGGTCAGGCCAAGGAACAGATCCCATCCTCCTGGTCTTCAGCCGATGCCCCCAAACAAACACCGTTGGGTTCAGAGAGGTCTGGGTGTCTGGGTAACTAGGAGCAGGTGCAGAACCCCTACACCCACATTACATCCAATTTTGGGTGGCAGATGTCCCTTGGGAAGGCCCTCCTCGGCCTTTCAGGATTATATTCCACATGGGAGGCAGGCAGGCAGGATCCACAAGCGGTGGAGGCACACAGCCTGGACTGGTGGAGGAGAAACAGGCATCCCCAAACGCTCCTCAGGGCAGAAATGCCAGCTCTTTGCCATGAGATGGATGATGCTTTGGCACTTTGAGTAGAAAGGGGCAAGCTCTGCACCTTTACACGCCGGGAAACCCCAGCCCGAGGCACCCAGTGCAGCAGCTGGGACAACCTGCTCCTGCTGCAGCCGTCAGCCCCATGCCAGTCGGCTCCCAGGCATCGAGAGCCATCCCACAGCTCCACCATGTGCCATTCCTCCTCCGCCGCCCTCGCCCAGCCCAGCTGCAGATCCGTCTGGTGCTCGCCCCGAGCCCTCTGCCCTGAGCAAGCCCAGGTCTCAGCTCCAATTCGGTCTTCTCCAGCCGATGCCATGAAGCCTCTTCCCGAAGCACCGCCCGAAGCCTCCGCTCCAGCTGCGATCCCGTCTCTCGGCTGGCTCCATGGGCCTCCCAGGCAGGGACCGGAGGTGCTGGCAGGCAGGCAGGGAAGGGAGACAACCTTGCCCTGATGCAAAAAGCGCTGGACCACAGGGAGCATCTTTGCGAGGGGCCCCAGCACCCTCGGCGGCACACCCCAGTGCTGGGGTGGGCACTCGCTCATGCCGGGATGGGAAACCCAACAGTAAATCCACCCACTGGGGAGCTGGCAGGGATGCGTGGCGGTGAGCTGGCCCCGGCCTCCTGTCTTTTGCCACCTTGCTTCCACGGCCTCGCAGAGAGCAGGGTGCTGCATGCCCCCTCAGCAGCCCCGGGAGGGTGCCTGCAGCATCCCACACCACATCCAAGCCAGGAGAGCCAGCAGACCCCTGAGCACGGCACAAAGCCATCCTGCTGGAGGAGGAAGGGCAGAAGCAGCCCTTCCCCAAGGTTCACAGCCCGCACAGGACAGCTTGGTCCCCCCAAATCCAGCAGCACGCTCAGCCCTGGCTGCCGGGTCGGTGGTTTTTCCTGCAGCCCTCCTCTCCTCCCGGCTCGTGGCGCTGCCAAGCCAGGTAGAGCTCCGCAGACCCCCACAGAGATGTAAGGTGGGGAGATTGGATGGAGGGGCAGGCTGAGGGGTTTTTTTCCTACCCAAAAAAAAATGCCTCACAGACGCACACTCGCTAAACTCATATCAATAAAACATCTGCAGAGAATTTAAACCTAATCCTCAGCAGTCTCCGGGGTGTCGGAGCACAGCAAGGATTTGCAGGCAGATGCACAAGCCTCCGACAGTCAGCCAGCAAACAACGCGATGGCCCGCTTTCCTCTCGCTCCCACAGCTTCCCCGAGCAGCATCAAGCTGTGTTGCCTCTTTTCTAGCTGTAATACATGTTTCCTTTTACCGGTCCTGCCAGAGACCTTTGGACACAGGCAGCTTTAGAGGTAAATATTTATCCTCACAACTCGACTCAAAAAAAAAAAAAAAACTGCTCAGGAACGTACAGCCTCCCAGCCCGGCGGCTGTGGCAGCAATCGCTTTATCCCAAGCAAAGGGCTTTTTTAGCTCATCAGAAAGAAGAGCCCAGATGTGAAGAGCTGGGCTTCCTCCACGCCGGGCCCCGCTCTCCCGGGCTCCTCGCCACGAGGCCACGTCGTGGGGAGCTACTTTGGAAAGCAGCAGGATGAGGTCCCCTGGGCACCCCATCCCTAATGCTCAGTCTGGAGGTACGGCTTCCCGGTGATGACTGCTCGGGGTGTTGCAGCTCCTCTGGCTGGGGGGGGACAGCCTCCCCACCCGGCCTCCCCCCCTGCGCCCATGAAACCTTTGGGGCACCCAGGAAAGGGGGCAGATGGTCTTGTTTTCATGCAACCTCCCCCACGAGGGCAAACGGATCACGGTTTGGATGCCTTAGGTGGGGCATCCTGGAGGTCCCTGTCCTCCTGAATCTCGCTCGTGAGACGTCCAGCAGCGAGTCAGACATGCGTACAAACGGCCAGCGGCCAGCTGCCCCCCAGCCAGCGCTGGAGAGCCCTTCCTCTCCCCTGCCCAGATGTCTTCCCACTTGTGTCCCCCACCTTGCCCTCAGAGCATCCCTCCTTGCTCTCTCTGGCTCAGACGGCAGGGCACGTGCCCCCCTGCCCTGACACTCCCCGGCACGCTCTGCCGCTGGCAGGTCATGGGGAAATGCACCCCCAAATCGGGGCTCAGCCCCCAACTGCTCAGGTCTGTGTCCCGCCCCACACAAAGGCAGGTGAGGCACCAGCTTCCCCCCCCACCACCGGCACAGCACCCCTTCCCCTCACCAGCCGGGGATTGTGCTGGGGAGCAGGGGAGAGGAAGAGCCTGTCACCCCCATTTCCAGGGAGCAGAGCGCTCCCCAGGGCTGCCGAGCACCCCGCGCACGGCGGTCCCTCTCTGCCTGCATCCCCAGCCCCGCACGGCGGGATGCTCTGGAGGAAGGTTCGCTCTGCCAACCTTCAAGTCTCCCTCAGCACCTCCCCGTCCCTTCTCCCTCTCCTCACAGGCAGGGTGACGCTCCTCCAGCCCAGGCGAGCTCAGCAGAGTTTTTCCGGGCGCTCGCTGCTGCAGTGTGCTGGGGATCACACACGCACAGGCACCCGTGGAGAGGCAGCGGGGTGCGGGCGCTGCTGTAACGGCATCTGGAGCACGACACGGCACACGACCGAGTCACGGTCCTGCGTGCACCCAGCCTCGCAGGAGGAAAAAAACGAACCTTTCTCATTTGCTTCCTTTTCACCCCAGACCCACCACCATCTCTGACTTCTCCCCCTTTTCGGCTGCACCTTCCCCGTCTCCGTAGGAGGCTGCCCTAGAAACGCTAAGCTTTCTTCCTGGCCGAGACAGGGCTCCTAAATAACACACATGAGCTAAAGCAACACGCACGAATTGCAACAGAGGGGACAGCAATTCCCCACGCACACACACATGCAATTAACTCAACTTTCCGAACCGATTCTCCATGCCGCG